TTTTTTTTTTTTTTTTTTTTTTGAGACGAGGTCTATGTAGTTTAGGGTGTCCTTGAACTTGAACTCACTATGTAGGCCAGGCTGGCCTCGAACTTGCGGCAATTCTCCTGCCTCAGCCGCCCAAGTGCTGGGATTACATGTGTGTGCCACCGTGCCTGGCTTACAGCTTTTTATATTTTAAGGCACAACAAAATCAGTTCAAGGGCTTTTGTCTGAACAAATGAGTTAGCAGTCTTTCCCACAACATTTTCCTAAGCAGTCCTCTAAAGCTAATCAGTTGCATTAAGATATTGAATAGAGACAGCAGTTCCTATTTGTTATAATTCCTAAGTGGGCAGTATCTAATACTTTCATATCTGGGCCCATTTACACACTCCTGCTGGTTTGAACCATCAGTGGTACATGCATGACTATCCATTGGGTGACTTGTACCACTGGTACAAATAGATGTAATCACTTTTATGAGTTTTTTTATTTTTGGTACCCACTGAACTCAGGACCTTTCGCTTGTGAGGCAGGTGGCGGAACCACTGAGCTAAATCCGGCCCTTTTATCAGCCTTTTTACTAATAAAATTGATAAAAAATCTATAAATGGACAATCTAGTTATTTGCTTGAATTTTAATGATTGCCCAGATATAAATATTAATACTATTCATGCCAGTTAAAAATACAGTCAACACATTTATTAATATAATCAACACATTAAATTTATATTTGTGAACTTTTTTTTTTGTTTGGTACTGGGGATCAAACTCTGGACCTTGTGCTTGGGAGGCAGGTGGCAGCACCACTGAACTAAATCCCAGCCCTATCAATAATTAATTTGAACATGGAAATCTTAGAAGTACCCCATTGCTGGTGTATATAATATGCATTTACAACTGCTGTACCACAAATTAGCTGTATTACAATTTTTTATGCCATTTTAATGTTTTCCTTAAGGAACTGTAATATGATAACATCTTGTCTGCTAAATCAACACCATTCTTTGTGTTATTGTAATCAAAGACCCCCTGAGAAATGGTACAAGATGCCTGACGGGATAGTCATGTATGTACTATTGGTGGTTCCAGCCGGTGGGAACAACTGAATTCAGATCAGAGCTGCCCAGCAGCAAGACAAAAATTACTGTCCTGCTGTGAGTGTATTAACTCTCCTACTCCTGGAAGACATTAACCAGCTCTGCTATTATGAAAACGAGTGCATCAACGTCTGGCATAATGAACTTCTTCCTTAGGGCATTGGATTCATCCAACTATAACAGAAAGTGCTTTATAGCAGGATCATGTGTTATAAGCATTCCTTTCAGGACATCGTCCATCTCTTCCCCATTAGAAGATGCGGATGGTTTCCAGAACTCATTTTCTTCAGCCACTTGGTTTTAGTAGACACCTGTACTACGTACTCAGCAGTGCAGTGTGTGCCTGTGCAGTCATTAAAAATCTTAAATTTTTTTATCCAAGAAGTCATAACTTTATTAGTGATAGAAACAGTACAAATTTCAAACCACGCTGCAGTGAACTTTTTTTTTTTTTGATACCAGGGATCGAACTCGGGTCCTTGCACTTTCAAGGCAGGCGGCGGAACCACTGAGCTAAATTCCTGGCTCAGCAGTGACCTTTTTGAAACACCAAAAAAGTCTTCCTTTCAGATGGTTACATTGTTAGTTCTATAATAGGATTTACAATATCATTACTGTTGTTCTTCAGGGCTCAGACTGCCTTTGCCCTCAACACATTTGCTTGTGACATAACCAGTTCTGTATCCTTAACTTCCACGCCTGTTTCATCAACCTCTTCCTCGTCACTCTCCTCTTGTACAGTTGGAGTCTGTGTATTTTCTTGAATGTTCAAGACAGCTTCACCTCGAACTTTGAATTTCTCAGCAGCTGCTAACTGTGCTTGCTGAGATAAATCCTCAATCTTGGCTTCCCCAAAAACTATGTAGGTATCTGAAGCTGGACTCTTATAGACATCTGGTTTTGTGATGACAAAGAGGATATTCTTAGATTTCTGGATAGTGACTCTAGTAACCTCTGTAACATGCTGAAGACCCAATTTGGACATAGCCTTCCGTGCCTTCTTTTCACTCCATCTTTGTTTTGGTTTACTGACTGGTTCTTTATCGATTTCAGCTGCTGCTGCCAGCTGGGCTTGTTGTGTAGTTGGTTGTGTGGAATCTTGCTCCTCCAGCTCTGGTACTGATTCATCACTGTCAGATTCTGTTCCAGATCCTGTCTCAGCCTGGGGCTGTGGCAACTCCTGCGCTGTAGCAGGGGCAGTTTCTGTAGCTTCACCAGGCATTTTGTGCAGAGAACTTGGAACCAAGATGGCGGCAGCAAAAATCTTAAATTTTAACAAATAATTTGTGATGTTAATTTCCCAACTGGACAGAAGTGCAATAAATGTATTGTGGAAAGACTAGAATGAATCATTTCACATAGAGTGCTGTAGAAAATTTACAGAATGAAGGTAATGTCATACAGATGTTAAATACTCTGCGTCTATGACTCATTCTTCCCCTCTGTTATGATCTTTCCCCAAAAGTGAAAAGAACATTATGAAGCCTTTGTAAACAACTGTGAACATGACTGTTATGATTCTCTTCAGTTTTCTGGATACATCTCAAGGGTAGCCAGTTCTGGAGATAGCCAGATTATTCAAATGGACAATTAATATCTGAAGACAAATATAGATTAGGATAATGCTCTACTTCCCTTTCCCCAAGCATCATTTGTTAGAGTATGTGCAGTCAGGGCAAAAAGTAGAACCTCTATGATCTAGATTAATATAGCATGGAGTCAGAAAGGGGACTTGAAGAATTTGAGTGTCACCGTGGTGCCCACAGAACGTGTTGGATGTTTTTTGTGCTCACACATCCTGGTACAGAGCTTTACATTGCTGAGTTATGGACTCGTCATGATAAATGGCAATTTAGAAACATATTCATTACCAAAGTTCTGTCAGCTATAATGCTGCTGCCAAGAGTAATGGCTCTGCACATCCCTGGAGTGGTGCATAGGGAGTGGGTCAGCTCCTGCCAGCAAAATATTTTCTCTGGTGCAGCTCAGTTCTCCTGTTTAATAGTTGAAAGAATGGAGGACCTCTAAGGTGGACCTTAAACTGAGAACATGGAGAATCTGATAACTTGTAAGGAGTGGTGTTTTTTGTTAAACTGTCCAAACTTGTCAGTTGTAAGTATAGTCCCTGGGGTATGCTGGGCCCCTCCTTTAACCCCTACTTAGGTTACTATAAGCTGGGCTGTACACAATGCTGTGGCTTCCTCATTAAATGCTGCTGTTATGACTGGATCTGATGTGAAGCCAACTTTTGGGCAGTGGTGGTCAGGTGGATG